CTGCGCGCCGCCGCCGCCAACGCGTGCCCGCACCTGACCTGCCTGCGCTCCGTCCGGGGCTTCGCGCGCCAGGCCCACCTCGCGCGCCACCTGGACCTTGTGCACGGCGAGAAGCGGCGGCCCGGCCGGGGAAGGGGCAGGAGCAGCAGGAGCGCCAGCCGCGGCCGGTCGCGCGGTCGCGAGGCGGCGGCGACCGACGGCGACGACGACGACGACGACAGCGCCGACGAGATGGACGGCGCCATCCACGTCGATGGCTTCCTGCAGCCCATCAAGATCCGCTCGGGCTGGCGCGCAAAAGACACGCAGCAGCGAGTCCGCAGCACCAAGAGCGTGTCGCGGGGTCGGGCTAGGGGCTCAGAGGAGAGGGGGCAGTGAGCCAGGTTGATAGAGGAGAAGGTCGGAGGGGTGACGGTTGCGTCGAGAGGACTGCATTCATATCATGAATGTTAAACTAAGGCGAACTCGTCCGGATCGATCCGTAAGGGTATCAATATACTCGAGTAGCAAGTACAGCAGTAAAACGAAGCCGCACGGCAACTACCACCCAAGGAAAAAAATAAAACATGGCCGCCCCAACCAAAAAACCAAGAGCGCCTCTACGACGCCCATGAATACACGTCTAACAATCCATGCCCTAAGCCCAGCCAAAAGCAAACAGGTCTGAGCGCAAGGCCCTGCCTATGATATAAACGATGAAAAACAAGCTGAATAAATCTGTAAGTCCCGCCGCCCTCAATGCAGACGCGGACTCTTCCTCCTCGACATGCTCTGCGACAATGCTGACGAGGGCGGCATATTCTCAACTCCGAGGGACGCCGCCTTGCTTCCCGGAATCTTGCCGCCGCCGCCCACTTTTCCGTGGCTACCCGATGCCGACTTTCTCTTGCTGCGACGAAACAGGGGCTGCATCTGCCCGTCCCCTTCCTTGCCGTTCGCCGTCGTTGTCGCCAGGCCCGAGCCTAGAGACAATGTGCTAGCGCCTGCGCTGAAGTGGACGCCTCCGGCGGCGAGGTTCGGGTTCACTTCACGCAGGCTAGTGCCGAGCGGGTGCCGCGGCTGGTTGCTAGTGCTGATGGAACCCGACATGGTTGACGACGCCGACGGGGACCTCGGGCGCAGTATGCCCGAGGCATCGCTGTCCAAGTCATTGAAGATGGTGGGCGCTGTTTTTGAGGGGGTGGGGGCAGGCCCATCGTCGTCATGCAGCCGCGCCAGCCGAGATGGGGGAATAGCAGTCCGCGGGAGATCCTTCGGGTAGAGGTACTGGGTCTTTTCGGGCGTATCGCCCGTGGGCTGGTACTCCTGTAGAATAGTGTTCGATATGGCGTCTCGTAGGTTCGAGAGGGGGTGGCAGACGTTAACGTCCAGCGGCTCCAGTGATTCCTGGAGCTCGGCATGATCAGCCTCGAGCTCCTCGCCGACGGCCTTGATGCGCTCAAAGCCATCTTTGAAGCAGGCCGAAATGTCTCCGTACGAAGCCTCGACGGTTTGAGACAGCTGCTGCACCGCGCCAGTATCCCGACTGAGGTGCGTGGCGTTCTGGGACCGGGCTCGAGTGACGAAGCCATCCAGGTCCTGCATCTGCACGTCGAGGTCTCGCATCTGCTCGTCGACAACACGGACTGTCTCGGCGTGGATGGACTTGGTCGTGGCCTGGATCGAGGTGCTGTGCTTGTTGGCGGCCTGGAGAGTTCCCTGGTCAGCATCCTCCTGCTCGAGCAATCCAAGCATCGCCAAGTGTTGCAACTTACATTCCAGTCTTCCTTAACCTTTGTCTTCAAGGTCTCGTTGGATTTTCCAACCTCACTCTGCATCTCGCTGTCCTTGTCGGCCCAGGTTTCCATCCCCTCCGAGTACTGGACAATGTTGTCCTCAAAAGCGGCGGTTGAGCTGAGCATGTCCTGGCTGATCTGAGAGGCCTTGGCCGAGAGGCGCGTCTCCTGCGCATCTCCCTGGTTGTTGATGAGGAGCGTGATCTGGGCCAGAAGAAGTTTCCTCTCCTCGGCGGCCTGTCTCCGCTCCTCGGCCACAATCTCCTGGATCCGCGACGATGCGACGGCGTTGGACTGAATCAAGGACTCGCTAGCCCCTTCCAGCTGCCGCCTGAGCTTATCAGACTCGGTCCTTTGAGATATGAGCGTCTTGGACAGGTCCTCGAACATGGCCTTGAAGTCCTTGCCGAGGCTGTTGTATGACGACTGCAGCTGGCTGTGGAACTGGCTCAGCTCGCTGACCACGTCTGCCGCTATCCTCTCTGCGGCGCCTGCAATGACCTGTAGGCTCTCCCCCACACGTTCCTTGATGTTGTCCCGTACCACCTTGATCTCGTCCAACACTGCGTCCATCTCCTGCTTCGACTGCGCCTTATGCTCCAGCAGCTGCTCCTTGGATGCCGCGAACTGTTCAATGTGCTCGTCCAGGAACGCCTGCGTCTCCGAGAGCTTCTGCAGCTCGGCCTGGACAAAGAACTCGACTCGTTCTGACACGCTTGATATGTGCTCCTCTTGGTCTTGCCTGAACTCCTGGATGCGGCCCTCGACCATTTCCGTCACATCCGCCACCTGATCTTGAGACGTCGCCCATGTGCTGCGGTTGAGGCTCTGGAGATCCGACTTGCGTTTGTTCTTGGCACGGAGTCCGCTGACATCCCTAACCGTTCTGTCCAGAGTGCCAATGAGCTCATTGCCTAGAGTAGCAAGCTTCTCCTCGGTTTCTTGGTGGGCCTTGCGCAGCTCTGTCTCGTCTCCGAGCGCCTTGCGTGTCGCCGTCAGGACCACCTCTGTCTGGTCGAGAACCTCCTTGGTGTCGTCAAGCTGGGCCTTGGTGCCCTCGTTTTCCTTCTTGAGTCCCATGAAGCTCGAAGTGAGATCAAAGAGCTCCTGGACCTTGTTTCGCAGGTTCGTCTCCATAGTCTCTATCTTGGCAGACTGCTCCTCGGTGAGAATCCTCCGCGACTCGTTCTGCACCGTTAGCTCCTCGTATGATTCGTTGGAGAGGTAGACGCCGTTGCGCTGCCTCGTCGTGACTAGCTCTCCTCTCAGCTTCTCGATCTCGGCCGTGAACTCCCGGAGCAGGGTGTGTTTGCTCATTATCGTTTTTATCTGGGGCTTGTTCCGGATGTTCTTCGCCCGGAAGGCATAGTCCAGCGTCGATATGGTCTCCTCCAGGTTGCTTTTCGCCGGTGATATGGTGGCGATGATGCACGTCTTGGTCTGGCCTCCAAGGGAGTCTTGTAGGAGCCTAGTGAGCTTCGACTCTCTGTAGGGGATGTGGTGACTCTTGTCACCCTGGGCGCTGCGGTCGACCAGCGCGTTGATGACGCGCCCCAGGGTCAGCAAGCTCTTGTTGATGAGGCCAGCCTCAGCCGCCCGCTTGTTTTCGGCTCCCGACCTCTGGATGTTCTCGCTGCCAGCCAGGTCGACGAGGTTGAGCTTCCCCGCGCTAACATAATCCTCGCCGTTCTCGCCCGGCCTCTTGACGTATACTGTGATGGTGAAGACGGTGTGGCTTCGACTACTGAGGTCGTTGCACTTGGTGGCGGCCACCTGCCTGCGGACACTGCCTTCCTGTAGGCGTTTTATGCCTTCAGCAGCAGATGTTATGTGACGCTCTTCCATGCCCTGCACCACCGTCGTGGAATGGCCTTTCCTCGAGTTGTCGTCGTATATCCTCAGCTTCGCGCCGTCGTCGGCTGAGAGCAGATCCCGCAACTCTTCGTTGTAAAGTTCGATAAACGAGCACCGCACGCAGTTGTCACTTTCCTCGGCCTCCAGCTTGTTGAACAGCGCCTGCAGAACGCGAGGGATGATGCCGGCAGCATCCGACAGTATGCCCATCGACTCTTGCATGTCGCCCGTCATCGTGTAGGTCTTGCCGGTTCCTGTTTGGCCGTAGGCGAAAATCGTGCAGTTGTATCCCGTGAGCATCTAACCAAGCAAGACACGTTAGTTCCCCAACCCATGAACCGTACAACTATCAGCACCAGACTGTGCTCCAAGTCCCGCTCACCTCGTCGAGAATCGGCTTGACCGTGTCCTCGAATATCATGCTCTGGTCGGCAGCTGAGGAATAGACGCGGTCGAAGTTGTATGTCTTGTTACTTAGAGCGTTGGGGCCCATAGAGAGATCGACGACAGCCCCCTTCACACCCGCCGTCGAAACCACGACGGCGCTGTTCTCGCGCACCTCGCGGTCGTTGCGGCCTCTGCAGCGGACGACGACATTGATGTTGGTCCCGGCGTTTCCGTCACCAGCGCCCGCCTCGGCGTCGAAGTCGCGCTCCTTACGCTTGGTGCCCGTGGTGGCGACCGAGGAGACCGAGCCTGTTGGCGATACAGCACCGGAACGGTCTATCCGAGACGCGACCACCGAGCCATGGCGGACGTTCCTCGCCGTCGCCGTGGATGAACGCACGCCGAGTCGAGAGCCTGCGCGGCCGATAGCGGTCGGTCTCGTGGTTGAGGGGCCGGGAAGCCCAGAGGTAGAGGCGCCTGTGGCCCTGCGCCGCGGTGGCTCCCGAGTCGAACTCATCTGGATGTTGGCGTCCGCACCTCGACCTCTCCCAGCCGGTCGGGGGTTATGGAGGGGGCGGCCGATGGTGTGACGTGACGCCGGATACAAGGTGGGAGATATAAAAGGCTGTCCACAAACGCGAACCAAAAAGGAAGAAGCAAGCCAAAGGCAGCGCGCAGATAGTGTCAGATATGATAATGGGAGTTGGGGCTACAGTAAAAAGCCAAAAGGAACCTTGGTTCGTATGCTGGGCTTGTATGGAGGAACCCTACTGTGTGCAGGTACCTTGAGCTTGCTGGCCGAGGGCGATTTCATTTTGCCCAAGACCAGGCTTGTTGACGATTCCGGTTGGAGCGCCGCGCCTGCTGCATCTGCATGGGTAGAGCTCAATTCCATTGGTCCGTGTTTGTGGGGAAGGCGCGGTCAACAGTGGGCCGGCAGGGTGGGTTGCCCGAGTAACACAGCATCAGCCAACCAGACGGCGGCGCGGGCACGGGCCAATCGCAGCTGCCGCCCCAGGCTGGCGGGCGAGGGAGCTGGGATCGCCCCGCGCTGGCACCCCTTTAGGCAAGGCAGCTGGCTGACGCACCAGAGACTGCAGGGGTCAGCTGGCGGGCCCAACCCCCAACCGAATGACGTCTCAGCCCAGCTGCCCCTCCGCCTTGGTGTCGGCCGCGAAGGGACGCATCACGCGGAAGCTTCGACCGTTAGACCAGTTAGTCAAGCAAACGGAAGCAGCCAAGCATCCTTATGTGAGCCTGGCGCGTGCGTTGTCCGTTGTCCAGATGCCTGGGTCCGCTTTCAACTCCTGCTTCCATCATTGTTCTCGACGCGGGGCGGCTCCAGCTAAGCGGTGGATGAAAACACCCCATCATCAATCAAAACTCCCCTACTGCTCTTCCTTTGCATCCAACAAGCTGGCTGGCCTCCAGTTGATCCGTCGGCTCACCCACCGCCGACATGTCGCTCTTCTCAGCTCAGCTGTATCCGGGTCAGGCCTTGGGGTTCTTGGGTCCGTTTGCTTCCACAGCCCTCCCTACCTCCTGCTTGGTGACCATGACCGCTAACTACTGAAGCTGCCGACGCGCGTTTGCAGTCCTCGGCGCCTCTCTCCATGATATCCTCACCCGTCTAAAGGCCGAGCCTCAGCGCTTCCCCAAACTGGATCTGATCTACTCTCCGAACGAACCCATCAAGGAGCCCGTCATCGTCAACCTTCCTTCAAATGGCATTCGTATCCGCTTTGACGGCCCCGAACAGAGGTTGCGCCTGGTTGAAGTAATCGATTTTACCAAGAACCACATCACATTCAAGGAGTCCAACAACGAACGCGACCTTGTCCGCCCGCCCGGAAGCGGCTCGACTATTTCGTCGACGGATGCCGTCGCGGCCGGCCCCACCTTCAAGCACATATACAACCGTTTCCTAGGCCCGACTTATGACGGCGAGTTTGTTGGTGGTGGCGACGACAAGGAGGAAGGCACCTATGTGCTGTCTTATCCAGGCGTCGCCTTCACATTTCCTATGCCTCGGTCGGCATACTCGCCAAGCAAAGACGTCATGTCATTGCTTTCGCACAATGGTACCCAGACAGCTACCTCGATGGCAGTATTTAGCGGCGATTCGTGGGCCCAGGCGCGCGACGCCCTCTGGACTGACCCTCTGCCAAGCCTGAAGACCTTCGCTCCCCTGGCCAAGAGTGCGAAGGACAGCACCAGCCCGGACGAGGTGGCTCTGGTCCGAATCCATGGTGGCGGCAAACTTCAACTCGTGCGCAAATGGAACTCGACATGCAGCGCAACGCACAACGCCTCGGGCCCGTCGGCTCCTGCGTCGCTTGGACACTCGGCGCCTTCAACCTGGATCACTCTGGGCGAGACGAGCGCACAAGATTTAGTGGCGGAGCTAGGCCCTCCCGACGCCATATACCGCAAGAATGACCAGCGCATGTACATTCACCGAGTCCGAACGGCAAGCAACAGCCGAACGCGCCCGGAAACGACATCAGCCGGAGACCTCAAGCCCGGCAGTCTAGGAGCTCGTGACGATCTGACCGATACCGACTTGTCAGCCAACACGGCCTCGGACGATGACGATGACGAATCGAATGGCGAGGCAGTCGAGGATGAGTATGCCGACAATGTTGCGGGCGAGTGCTTCTACAACTACTTCTACCTCGGCTTTGACATACTTGTGTCGACACCAACTACACCATCTCGGCCCCCACCTTCACTGTCGCAACACGGAGGAGATGAGCAGAACACCCTCCCATCAGAGTCAACAGACCGGCTCGTGGCGGTCAAGATGATTCTCCATGGAAATGTGCCGGGCTCCTACCCTTTCAACCGCCACCGGCGCTGTCGATGGGAGATAGCCTATCTCGATTACGAGGGGGCTGGCGCTGTGGACTCGGAAACACCCTTTCCTGAGATGGAGGAACGTTTGCGCGAGGAGTGGCGGCCGGCGTACGCTTCTGAGGCAGATGCGAGGCAACGGCAGCGCGGTATGGTCCTTAACCGCGGCTGGGGCGACAGCCCCGGGAGCAGCATCGAGCTTCTCGGAGATTGGGAGGGCGACAGTGTGGGCATGGGTGGCAGGAGCGGCAGTAGGAAGATGGGCAACGATGGCGTCGGGGGCGAGAACTCGACGACGACGCTCTACGGGTTCCCGGGCCTGGTATTCGAGGTTCTGCGCAATGGGTTTGTCAGTGCAGTGACAGTATTCTGAGCTTCATTGGGTGTGTCTGGGCTTTTGGGTAGAGAGGCGTTTGCGTTCCATGTGCGACGTGCATTTGCTTCTATCGGTTCGGGTCAGATGGCGTTTTGGAAAGATTGACTTTGCGGCCTTATCATTGGCACACTAGATCACACGTTGGGGACGACCAGACTATTTGCTTTTTTTTCTTGGGTTGCTCGAGTGTTTTGCTCCACGAATGCTCGTGACGGGACACTATACTCTCCCAGCTTGTTATTTGGTATCGCTAGAGGCAGTTAGACAGATGGGCGGGCTCTCCAATTCTAAACATGTTGAGTCCAAACTACGTCCACAGTAGAGCTCCTGCCGGCCACGAAATTCTTCACGTAAAGCTTATAAGAAACCGCAGCATCTATAATTGCTCTACATTACTCTACACAGAAAACAAGTCCTCTGAAAAGTTTGAAAGCCAGCCCTTTAGATCCTCCCTTCGCGCCAGCATCGCTCAACTATACACACTCTCGCACTATGACAAAAGACAGGTTTGCACAAAGGCTGCTGGTATTACAGCGAGGACATGTCGATTCTGCTGTCCCAGTTTAGCCCTGGACTCCGGAGGGGGCGGTGCAAAGGATGCCCTGCTCCAGCTGTGCGGGTTGAAAACAACCATGTTAGAAGCCTTGCTATCATCATTCACGCCACAATGGAAACAATGGAATAACCAGACAGGCACTCACGATGGGGATGGCGCAGCAGCGGGCGCGCTGGCCGATCTCGGCGCAGATGGCGCTGAACTCGGTGCCGTTGGAGGGAGTAGACAGGGCTGTTGGTTCGTGAAGAAGTGCGGGGGTTAGCATATGGGGAAGTGAGTATCTCAAGTATTCTCTCCCACGGCGCATGGTGGAACCTACGGGTGCCGCAGTCCAGGTTGACGACGCCGAGGACGTCGGTGGCGCAGCACAGCGCGGTGCTCTGCAGGCCGCTGCAGGGCGTGTAGGGCACCTGGCGCTGGAGGAGCTCGGCGGCGGGGAGGGCGACGGCGGCGGCGGTGGCGAAGAGGGTGGCGAAGACGGCGTTGAACTGCATTTTGACGGTTTGGTGGTTTGTTTTTGGTTGAGTTGGAATGTGGAGGAGTTTGGTATTGAGGAGCTGTGAGCGCAAAGGAGTATATTGGTCGAGTTGAGCGGAGGTAGAGGCTGGGTCTGGATCTGCTGGGTTTGTGGATGGGGAACAAGACTTTTTCCATCTGGAGTCAACGGGACAAGCCTGGATATTTATACACGGCGAGGATCAATGCAGGCGGGGAGAGTGTCTTTAGAAAAGCAAGCACCAGTATGCGTGTATGTGATTAACATCGTCATGCTGCGACAGAATCACGGCTGCCTTCCTTGGAAAAGTTCCCTTGCCTCTTCACCACCACCTGTTCCGAGCAGCAGCCAAGGAGGCCTCCACCTGAAGGAGAGCGCAAATGAGAAGTTCAAGCAGCCTCAACAAAGACTAGCTGTAGCAGTACGATGCATCAAGGCGCCTTAGACGTTGCATTTAGAACGTCACTACCACTATCGCTTCAGGACAGGTACAAGCAATAGCAGCCCCTAGCTGGGCATCTGGAGCCATAGCGCTGTTTGGGGGAGAAACAGTAGAAGCCTAGGCAGGGAGGTCGACGATCGCCACGTCCTCTCCGTTCCTGTTGGCGAATCAAGGCCAAGACGCAAGGAGAGCCCAGTCAATAAAAGTGCATGTTAAAGAGGGGATGGTCGTCATCGATCCTTCATCCGGCAGGGCTTATTTTTTTTTTTTTTTTTTTTTTTTTTTTTTTTTTGATATGAGTGCAGTGTCGTTGCAGCAGCCGAACCGGAGGGCCTGCAGCGATGGGAAGACGGACAAGGGGGTGGCTGGCGTTGCATTCGCCCTGGGAGGACGGAGCACGGAGATACGGCCGAGTCCCGTCAATGGCACGCTGTCGCCATGACCAACGCTTGTCAACGTCTTGCTACAGTACAGTCGATACACCGAGAACCATCATGCCACCGAAGACAGGCAGGAGGGTGGGGATCCTGGGCGTCGCCGTCGCCTAGTGAGGCCGTCGGGCAAGAGAGGGCATGCCAACGATAACGACGATGGACGGGAAGGGAGTTCCGGTCTGACAACCACTGCTGTGTCCAGAGCCAGAGAAGAGAACAAGGAGGCCAAGAGAACGAGGGAGCCCACCGCCACTAGACGGGGATGACCGCCGGACAGAGCGGGCTCGGCACACGCACACAGGCCACTGCTAGGGGGGGGGAGACAACAATAACCGAACCACCGGTTCGAGACGCATGGTTCCGTCAATAACGGTCTTTGAGATCGGCATGCCGTCTAACCCCACACAGGAGCCTCGCCCGATCCGATATACGTCAGGGGCCGCCCGATATGGCTAGGTCATAGAAAGCTGAGAGGCCTGCATGACAAAAAACTTGGCGCGTCGAGGGGCGACGAGAGGCTCAACAGAACGGTTCCACTGTGCCACAGCGTTGCACCCAAAATCAGGAACAGGAGACATTTCCCTCTGCGGGCAACCGCTATGATTGCCTATCTGGGCAAAGGCTCTCCCCAGGGCCGGAATCGACATCATCGTTCACCAGCCACGCACTGACCGACATCATCGACATCGCCACTTTACGAAAAATCATAACGGCTCGCCTGCAGCCGCCGTCGAATCGCTTCAAGCCGTTGCCTCCGCTTAGAGGCCGTTGAAGGCCCGAAATAGCATCGTGTTACTGCACGACACGGACATGGAAAGTGATGGGCGGTGCTGAAGCCACAAGAGCGACGACACGAGCTGCGGGGGCTGCTGATCCCTTTCTGAGACGGGAGGAGGCTGAACAGAGCAGATGGGAATATTGAAACTTCGCATCACCGCCAGGAGCAGCAACTGGTAGTGTTGCACGGCGTTTTGACAGCCTGAGCTGACCTGACTGGCTAATGCCAAGGTGCTAGCGCCCTTGACGATGCACTCGCAGCGAGGACGAGATGGTATTCTCTAAGCGAGCACATGCGACCCAGGCTGGCAGCCAAGCCTACGTGCCAAACTAGGCTGTATCAAGAGGGTAGGCCGAGCCGACTGCCTGCTTGCATGTATGCGCAGGAAATTGATGAAAGGGCTTCGTCAATCACCGTATCGGATGCTCCAGCCTGTCAGGGTAGGATAAAAGGGGAGAAGATAAAGCAGTGACGGCATGCGACAAGAACAAGGGGCAACAAGGGTATCGCCAAGTGTTGCGTCAACACGTCTCCCCCAGCACGGTTGTAGCAATACGCGGTACGGCCGCAAAGGAGAAGGGGAGGGGATAGAAGAGGATGAAAGAAAAAGGAGTGCGCCATTGCGTGTGCAAATCGGATTCACCAGGAGAGTGGTATTCAGAGATGCGAGAGGCGGAGATTGGAATCGATAGCCATCTGCAGCGCAGCTGAGATGGCACGGTCTGGCCAAAAAAGTCTGGACCGCAAATTTATTCCCCACCACCACAAAAAAAAGGAGCTCATTCAATCTGCAATTATTTTACCCTCTGCATTTATAAAAAGCGAAAAACGTTATTGTGGCTATAAGTAATGCTTTTTGCATTAAAATAATTACAAATTCCTTGAACGCGTGTTTTTTTAGGTGTAGAATGCGGCGCGGGCATGTTGTTTGGCTTTGGTGCTGGTGCAATTGTGTTGGGAGAGGTAGAATTTAGG